CGCAGAGGAAGCTTCGCGAAGGCCTTCGCGAAGGACACCTGACCCCAGATCGTCATCGTCCAGAAGGACATCGAGGGACTACACAAGAGCTTCGCGAAGCTATCAACATTCTCCTCACAGGTCTCCGAGAAGGTCATCCCATAGGCGCCAGATCACCAAGGCGATCTCCTCGCCGTTCACCATGCCGATCTCCTCGCACATCACCCGCGCCGATCACCTGCGCGGTCACCACACAAGTGTGCACACAAGTCTACAGTCAGGTCTCCCCAAAGCGTCACCCGACATAGAGATAGCAGCACACAGTCCACCATCAGAAGAGCATCAACCTCTCATCAGCGTGCTGGGATAGAAGATGATGGAGGCATCATTTTCTCAGGCGGCTGAGATCACGATATTGGATGGTAAACAACCTAGATCTCTCTTCACCTTCCAAGAGTGGCAACTTCGGCGCGAGACATACCTGATGAAGGAAGGCGATGCAGGCGCCGTCACCCTACCTCCGATCGACCCGATTGCTGCGGTGCCACAGAATCTAGATACAGCCTTCCATAAAGCCACGAAAGTTCAGACACCACATCTGCCGAACTTTCAGCCAAGAAAGTTCTCAACGCACAACATGGACCCCTTCTTCAAGGCACAAGACATCGATGACAACTACAAGCTGATCAGCGATGTCAAGAACAAGAACTACAAGATTGACGATGCGCAAGCTGGTGCAGATAGAAACCATGACGAGGCGCATGTTCTTTGGCCTAAATAGATCTAGAACGATCAATGAGACACTTATCACCAGATTTAAGTAATCGACCTCTGAAGATGATAGGATGATCTACTCGGCCCTACTGATGCAAAAAAGAAGGACCAGCAGTTCCTAACAGATCATCTCACATCTGTCTCAGCAGCGCTAACCTTAGCTCGTCGTCAAGGCCTCCTCGCTTCCTGCAGCTGGGGTGAGAACTTTACAGCTCCAATCTATACAGCCCGTGGTCTTCCCCATCCATCTTTGGCCGGAGGAATAGACAAAGTCTCCAAGGAAGTCACTAAGGATTCCAGAAAGTCCTTATGATTAAGTCGATGGACACGCTAGCCAGCGTCATCAGGCAGACTTCACAAAGATACTCAGGGAGATCTAAATTCACTGGACTACAGAGAGCACGGGATAGGAAGATGGCCAGCTCCAGGGGAAAAGATTCTTTTCGTCGCCCATATGGCAACTATAGAGGAGGGTCAGGAAGAGGCAGGACACCCAGAGGTTCCCGCAACTATAAACGCTGAAAGACAGGTTGAACGACTGGAGTCTTCACAGCCCCAGCCAAGTGGGTCCAGTACACTGGGAGAACTGAAGAATGTTACAAGCCCTCTCCAACATTCTGACAGTCAATCCCTCACAAGTTAGACTTACAGGCACAACAACTACCAAAGTTAAGAGAGGCTGTTACATCACTCCTAACCAAGCAGGCCATAGAAGTACTAGATCAAGTAAACATCGAACCAGGCTTCTACTCCCCAGTTTTCCTAGTACCCAAGAAAAACTCCAAGGAGAAATACAGACTCATTTACAACATGAGCTTTTTCAACAGGAATTATCTCGCCAAACCCACCAAAGTTTCGCATGATACATCTACCTCAGTTACGACAGTTGATTAAGCCCCATGGATTACATGGCCAGTATAGATCTGCAAGATGCATATCTACACATCCCGATACATCCCGAATCCAGGAAATACCTACGACGATTTACACTAGGCGGGCTACATTACCAATGGAAAGTACTCCCATTCGAATATCATCAGCCCCTGGCTATTCACAAGGATAACGAAACCTATTGTCACCTATCTACATCGTCTAGGGCTACGCCAGTCGCGTTCTACCTCGACGACGGGGATACAAGTAGATCAAGATCCACAGCGTCTCAAACTACAGTTAAACTACATCATAAAGCTACTAACACAGCCTGGATGGTTAGTAAACTTACTCAAGTCGGACCTAGTACCATCGCAAAGATCTGCAGTTCCTAGGCATTCGATTTATCCGCGACTCTCAACCGTATCGTCGTGCCAGAAGACCGTTGGCTCAAGATCCAACAGACCATTCCGCCAGCTCTACTCTCTCCGTTACCACTATGACATTGGCAGAGCCTGTTGGGTCTCCCTCACATCAGCCCAAGACATGACAGTCAGAGGCAGATTACAGTTACGTCGTTACAGGTCTTCATCAATGCACATCTCAACGACCTACAACCATTCAGTCTACCGAAACATCTCAGACCTCATCTACTATGGTGGACCAGGAGGTCGAATGTCTCAATGCGAAGGTATTTGTTTAGCAGAGCAGGAATTCAAAACCCATCTATATGTAGACGCAGCGTGCGGCTCCAAGGTTGGGGAGCTCATCTCGCCAACGGACTGACATCAGGGTTATGGAATCAGCAAGAAAGCAAGCTCCATATAAACATGTTAGAGATGAAAGCTGTAATCAACGCCATACTTCATTGGAGCACCATTCTACAAAATCGCACCTAATGATTCATACCGACAACTTCGACAGTGGCGTTCTATGTGAACAAACAAGGCTCAACGAGATCACTGAACCTTTTGACTTTAAGCTTTCAACTGTTCGATCTAATCCACGATCTCAACCTACATGTCAGAGCATGTCACATTCCACGAGCCAAGAATGTACTAGCAGACGACTCTCTCGGCCACATCAACCGTCACCCGACAGAATGGATGCTCAATCCGGAAATCTTTGCACAGATAATCAAGCAAATAGGGAGCCGCTAGTAGATCTATTAAAGCCACACGCTTCAACAATCAGCTACCGACATTACGTGTCACCAGTCCCAGACCCACAAGCATGGGCAACGGACGCTCTAAGCATATCCTGGGAAGGCCTCAATGCGCATCGCAGCGTTTCCGCCGCCAGCAATAATACCTCAAGTGTTACAGAAAATCAGACAAACACAGAGCCTCCAACTTCACTTTGGTCGCCCTACTGGCCAGCCAGAACGTGGTTTCCCATTCTAATTCAAGAAATCGGTCAACCGACACTAGAGCTACCAAGCTCAAATCTATTAGTACATCCACACACCAAACAGATGCACGGAAGCCCAGAAGTATTCCAACTTCAATATGGACTGTATTAAAATGTGTTTAAACAAGAGAGGATATTCTACCAGGGCGGCAAAAGGTCACGCTTGCCTTTACGCATAATTCTACACGTGGCAATGTACGGCGACAAGTGGCACAGTTTCGAAAATTACGCAGCAAATAAAGGGATTTACAGCGAGAGATGCTACTCATCCACAAGTGGCAGATTATTTGTGTTACTTTACCAAAACAAACATTTAAAAGGCTCGACATTGTCAACATATCTTGCAGCTTTAGTTCTGTGATTACTATGAGAACGGGTGTCAAATTGACTAAGACTCCAGAGTTACTGGCCTTACTATGTGCTTTCCGATTGGAGGACCAAAGCGGAAGTTCCGCCCCAGCTTGGGATCTGAATATAGTGCTACAACACTTCACAAGTGAGGCTTATGAACCGTTGGAATCGACAACCTTTGAATTTCTCTCACAGAAAACGCTTTTCCTGTTATCTCTAGCCACGGCAGCCAGGATGTCAGAAATTCACGCACTAGATTATGAGAGGATACAGTTTGATGACAATCAAAACACAGCACACCTGGGATTAAGATGGGATTTCATCGCCAAAAATCAACTACCAGGTCAACCAGACAGGTTATTCCATATCCCTGCACTATCCTCGATTCTCGGATCTCAAGATACACTGGACTTATCTCTATGCCCAGTCAGAGCTCTCAAAATCTATTTACAACTTTCCAAAACAAGGAAGATTTCTCAAAGCGATTATTCATCCCTTATCGGCAACAACTCAGACAGAAGTCTCTGTACCACCATATCTATATGGATAAGAACTGTCATACTTCGCGCCTACAAGGCAGCAGGCCTGGACCCTCCAACAGCATCAAATCCCCATGAGATCAGGGCATTGGCTTCCACTCTCGCCCTACACGGTAACTGTTCATTGAATACAATTATGGAAGGATGCTTTTGGAAATCTAACATGGTGTTTGCTAATCACTATCTGAGAGATATCACCACCGAGGACGTCTCAGGTATTCACCATTTCGGTCCCTTGGTCCTCGCACAGCAGTTGACAGTCCCTCGTAGACGTTAACACATAGTCTTACGAGATTAATATGTATAATTTATACATGCATTATCTAGCTTATAACTCTACGGAGTTCTAGGGCTATGTATATACTTAGCTTAGGTCTACTCAGCCTTAAGCTTATACTGATGATTATGTTCAGTTGTATAGCTTCTCTATCAGAGTCGCTTTTATATCTTTATTTGATAATATCATAGTATATTATTATTGTAATACCCCAGTATGGCAATATATAAACCTATGGGTTATAATAGAGGAAATATCCTAAGTCTATGCCTTTACGAAGTTCCCGTTAGGGGGTTATTACAGTTATATCTATATAAATCACTAATTTTATAAATCCAAAGTATTCTGTTTTTTTCCCACCTCCGTTTCCGTAGGATTCTACAAGCAAAAGAGCATGAGTCAGGATAAGGAAAAATATGTAATTTTAGAGTAAAATTGATATTTTATACTTATCCTGACTCATGAATAAGCCTCCTCCCATCCTCCCCACATAACACTTTGGATTTCCCTGTAAATTCAAGTGTTGGGCTCGCAAAATCAGGAGAGAGTGAAGCATGAGGCCAGAGGGTGGCGACACCTGTTCCCGCGCAAAGGGCAAGGGAGGCAACTCTTGGTGAGTACCAATTAGTGATTTTACATTGAAGGGAGCTTCAATTAAGGAGATACAAGTGTTCCACTATGTTCGCAAGAAGAAGAAGACAAGCAAAAGAGCATGAGTCAGGATAAGTATAAAATATCAATTTTACTCTAAAAATTAGTTTTTTAGGCCTAAATAATATCCTGCCTTGGTGATGTTTCAGCTAAAACAACGAGATGAAAAACTAGAAAAAGAGAAGAAAAGAAGAATGGAGGAATATCAAAGAATGAAAAAAGAAAGGGAAGCAATTAAGAAACAGGTATTACATGTTTTAGCCTAAGCGAATTATGCAACTCTGAATAAAACAAAAATGAACTTCCAGAGGATGGCTCTCATATGAGATAGAGAATTCACTTTCAAAACAAAGCTATGGTCCAGGGGATCCTGGGGATCCACCACCGAGGTCTGGAGGATGTAAGCCTGGCTGGTCATGAAGGGATTTCCATGGCGACACAGCCATCTCAGCCTGAAGTTTTCATCCTAGAGGTGTGATAATTTCTTTGTGAACTGAATCACATTATTTGAATTAGTTATTTATATCATAATACATTCAGTCCTCAAATTTGGCATATGCACAAAGGCTATGGATCCTTTTTCAGATTAAAGAGGACAGAAAGGACACCCAGACAAGGGAAGTCAAGGACTCGGTATGTACAATGTTTGTGCCGTCCATATTGTTCATACCTGATGCATTGTTGTATAAGGTTTGGTTAACAGTTATGAAAATACTATGTTCTTTTGTGCCGTCTTCTTATTCTTTGGCAAATACAAAACTTTCATTAATCAATCAAAGGATTTAGTTGCAGAATGTATACAGGCTTTTTGAAAGTATTAGTTCTTGAAGTATCTTAAATGTCTTAAGATATTATGTTTTTTGCAGCATGCAAGACAGCTTAATTTTGGTGCCAATGTAAAGAAATTTGAAAACAGGGTAAGGTTTTAAAATCTCAACACAATGATGTTTAGGGACCCTTCATAATTTATGGCTTGGGGTGTATGTGTGTGTGTGTGTGATGATTTTAGGGGGGATCCACCCATTTTGTTTTGTTTTGTTTGTTTGTTGTTGTTTTTTTTGGGGGGAAGCAATTTTGTACATAAAGATATTTAAAGGTCACATGCAACCCAAACAAGCAAACATAATTAAATAACAATTATCACTTAATCATGACATATAATATACATTGCTGATTATGAAATAACATATAAACAATATTATAAGTGTTTAAAGTAAATCAAAAGTGCAATATTTTGTACTTGGATTTACTTCCCAAGAAACGAAGCAGCCGGGATACCGAATCCAGTCAGAGCGGGTGGGTGTGCACTCAAGTGTAACGGCTGGTTTGTTTGCAGATGCCATCACGGCTCATTGTGTGTGTATATAGAGATGTTGGGTAACTTGGGTTTGTAAATACATGCTCATTTTTAGTGTATAACATTTTGCAATCAACAGACATCAAACCATATCATGTGTACAAGTATCCAACCTGCCTGTCTTTGTAATTACATAATGTGATTGAGACCGAACTCGGGCCATAAATCAATGTGTTTTGTTTATGGTGTATAGCCTGATAGGTGTTAAGTTCAAATTGCATGTGGTCAGTGATCGAAGTTGTGTATTGAATATTGTCATTAGCAGACAGGCAGGCAGACACATAGGTGTCAATAAAACAGACATTGAGTTTTTGTCTGTGACAACAACATATCTATATCACAGTTAGAAATTCTGTCAATGCTAAATAATGACATTGCTTTTTAAGTATCGAACTGAGAAAGTGACTCAGTAAGAAGAACGTGTGGTGGTGAAAAGACAAATGAAATTATATGAACAGTTAAATTGGTAATCTACTGTCATAACATATAAAAAGCTCAGCCTGTGAAATATTAACAAAACATTAGAAAATTAGCTCACACCAAAGCCTTTACCGAGTATTCACGGACAACCTGCTTCCTAGCTCGCGAACCTATTTCACTGCACATGTGCTATGAGCGCAGCCCAGCGCCAAGGCAGCCCAGCTGTTGAAACCACCTTTTCCCCAAGTGCTGTGGAAAATAAGTGAATCGTTTGAACTCTGATTTAAGCTTGTTTTTTCCTCGCCGATATTTTCAAGTTTTTAAGTTGAATTTGCATTTTTGATGATTTGTTCCGGTAAGTCCATACCGAAGGCATCAGAATCTGCAAAGTTGTGTTTTATGTTGCATGTGACCTTTAAAAATTATGCTTAAAAAAATATTGGAAGGGGAGGGAGGTCATTGCTTTTGTACATGACATATGGGGGGTGGGGTTTGTTTGTCCCTTACTTTGTACATAAATTTTGGGGGCATGCTTCTCCATAAAAGTCATCATCACCCCAAAGCCGTAAATTATGAACGGCCCCTCATTTGCTATATTGTTGGCAAATACTGATGCATTTGATAACAAGTGACCAGGAAGTGGTGGGTTCATCTAATATACATGTCATTAGTTCAATATGAGTGTTGTAGAAGACTGTCATTAGTCACCTGATCCATATGTAAATACTGAAATCTTCCAACAAGTATGCTGAGAGGGTAGTTTTGCAGTGACAGGTTGTTTAAATTCTAGATTCACCCTAGAGCTTTGAGCTGCGACCTCACATTAAGCTCATGGAACTGAAATAGTGAACATGATCAGGTGGTCGGTATCGTTGATTTCACTGATGCATGTTTTCGTATCCCAATTGATGCACAATTGTCTGGTCCAGACTTGGGCATATTGTGACCACTGTTAACTAGATAAACTATAAACTGTTACAATGTTTATGTTGACAGGGTGGCGGATGAGGGTAATCTGACTTCCACAGCTGAGCGCCAACTTTAGTTCCCAGTGTCATCTTGTCAAGTTCAAACCTTCATTTCATAAGGGATACCACTGTCTCTAATCTCTGTCTTCTTATTGAACATCTCGCACAGTTTAATTGGACAGATAATTTTAGCATCGTGTGACTGGTAAAGTGCATAATTTATCTTCATTGGTTGGAGATAATATTTTGGGGAAGGAGATAACCCACTGTCTTAAGATTAGAACTGGTATGTTAGCTATGATAACTTCTGTCACAGAATCAGTGTCATTTATTTGCATTTTTAGTTCAGTTATTGATTGGTGGCCCCGGTTCTATGTTAATGACGACACTTGTCACAAGCCACACTGATTGGCTGGCAGGTGTCTGATCCTCGGAACTGGGGCTCTGGGAATTATTTGTGCGGTCTGTCTTGGGAGTCTGAAGTGTTCATATACTGTTGAATATGTGCAGTGAGGGGAGTTTATATGGTATAACGTGGTTGATGTGTACCAGATGTGGAGATTGTTTTCTTTGGGCTGAATGGATGTGAATATGTAAATAGACAGGTTTATCTGGCCATTAGTCAAATACAACACAATTCCCTGTACAGTGTTGTGCCACAAACACAATCTAATTCTCTGTGTCAATCTAGGTTACTCACACAACATAGTTTTCCTTACGGATCTGTTACACACACAACACAAGTTTCCATGTGGATCTGTGTTACACACACAACACAAGTTTCCATATGGATCTGTGTTACACACACAACACAAGTTTCCATATGGATCTGTGTTACACACACAACACAAGTTTCCATATGGATCTGTTACACACACAACACAAGTGCCCATGTGGATCTGTGTTACACACACAACACAATTTTCCACATGGATCTGTGTTACACACACAACACAAGTTTCCACATGGATCTGTTACACACACAACACAAGTTTCCATATGGATCTGTGTTACACACACAACACAAGTTTCCACATGGATCTGTGTTACACACACAAACACAAGTTTCCACATGGATCTGTGTTACACACACAACACAAGTTTCCACATGGATCTGTGTTACACACACAACACAAGTTTCCACATGGATCTGTTACACACACAACACAAGTTTCCATATGGATCTGTTACACACACACACAAAGTTTCCACATGCATCTGTGTTACACACACACAACACAAGTTTCCATATGGATCTGTGTTACACACACAACACAAGTTTCCACATGGATCTGTGTTACACACACAACAAGTTTCCACATGGATCTGTGTTACACACACACACAACAAGTTTCCATATGGATCTGTTACACACACAACACAAGTTTCCACATGCATCTGTGTTACACACACAACACAAGTTTCAGTATGGATCTGTGTTACACACACAACACAAGTTTCCACATGGATCTGTGTTACACACACAACAAGTTTCCACATGGATCTGTGTTACACACACAACACAAGTTTCCATATGGATCTGTTACACACACAACACAAGTTTCCACATGGATCTGTGTTACACACACAACACAAGTTTCCATATGGATCTGTTATACACACACAACACAAGTTTCCATATGGATCTGTGTTACACACACAACACAAGTTTCCAGTATGGATCTGTGTTACACACACAACACAAGTTTCCATATGGATCTGCTACACACACACAACACAAGTTTCCACATGGATCTGTGTTACACACACAACACAAGTGCCCATGTGGATCTGTGTTACACACACAACACAGTTTTCCACATGGATCTGTTACACACACAACAAGTTTCCACATGGATCTGTGTTACACACACAACACAAGTTTCCACATGGATCTGTGTTACACACTCAACACAAGTGCCCATGTGGAACTGTGTTACACACCACAACACAGTTTTCCACATGGATCTGTTACACACACAACAAGTTTCCACATGGATCTGTTACGCAAACAACACAACTTTCCACATTGGTCTGTGTTACACACACAAGACAATTTTCCACATAGATCTGTTACACACACAACACAAGTTTCCACATGGATCTGTTACACACACAACACAAGTGCCCATGTGGATCTGTGTTCCACACACACAACACAAAGTTTCCACATGGATCTGTGTTACAAACACAACACTAAATTTCCACATGGATCTGTGTTACACACACAACACAAAGTTTCCACATGGATCTGTTTTACACACACAACACAAGTTTCCACATGGATCTGTGTTTACACACACAACACAAGTTTCCATATGGATCTGTTACACACACAACACAAGTTTCCACATGGATCTGTGTTACACACACAACACAAAGTTTCCACATGGATCTGTGTTACACACACAACACAAGTTTCCACATGGATCTGTGTTACACACACAACACAAGTTTCCACATGGATCTGTGTTACACACACAACACAAGTTTCCATAGGGATCTGTTACACGTACAGCACAAGTTTCCACGTGGGATCTGTGTTACACACACAAATCTATTACACACAGCACAAAATTTCCACATGGATCTGTGTTACACACACAACATAAGTGTCCACATGGAGTTACTGTATGGTGTGTTTAGGAGGAAACAGTGTAATGCATGTCAACAAATACACCTACTCCAACAAAAACGATTGCCAGAGATGTTGTAACTTGGACTGACTGTTGTCATAACATGTGCAGTGTTGTTTCTGATGAATTAGTGAATAAACATGGCATTGTATGAACATCAAAGTTCCAACATTTGCACAAATGGAATGATATGTTTTGTCATTAAATAAATATACAACATTTTAATGATATCCCTCTTAGTGTTGTTACTGGCTTGGATTTTGACTGCCATACATAAGATAACATGCATGCATGAAAGCATGAGCCTGTGATATAGCCCGTGTAACGTAAAGTGCAATAATGTTATACAATTTTAGACTGGTGATGAGGTCAGTACCTGGCAGATATTCTGGGTCAAACAAGTCAAAGGAACCCAAATTCCCGCTTTAAATAGCGGTAATATTGGCTTTCTTGTTGGTGCTAACCTTAACAATTGCACTATTAAGACTGTTGATGGACCAAAACCGAACACTGGCATACTTTGACATGTTGCAGGCTATGGTCTTGTCAAAGGCCAAGGTAGAAATAGCGTCACTTTCTGTTGTGACGTCACTTGAATTGTTCGATGACGTACTTGCATTCGGGCAGTCAACCCCGTCAGAAGTTGATTTGGATAAACTTGCAGTCAAATTCCTTCATTGTTTCCTTTTTCTTTTCAAAACAAATTCCATGTGTTTTAGCAATAATAACGGTAATGCTATTTTTGAGGGCATTATCATTTGCAGAAGCCGTCGGTCTTTTTCAACTGCCCTCCTTCGTCGGGCAGTTAATGGAAGACCTCGGGCTTCTGCAAAATGATAATGCCCTCAAAATAGCATTACCCTATACTGTCGACGGTTACGTGACCGCCTCTAGACCAAACAGGTTGCCGGAAAAATATGCTTGCATAATAAAAAAATGGATTGACAGAAAACTGAAACCTTCACACCTGGCATGGTGTTCAGGGGCTCGTAACTCGAAGCAGTCGTTAATTTGTCAAGGATAATGGTTAAGCATGCATTATTTTACCGTTATGTAAACTCGTAACTCGAAGCAATCCTTAAAGTTAGGACAATCTTTAAAAGGCAAGTTGGCCACTGTGTTTAAGGTGTACTCTGACCAACCATTTGCAGTCTAGTCGTAATCCACATGAACGTATTAAAATGGCAATTGATCTCTACGTGAGAAATGGGAACAAACAGAAGAATCCATAATGTCAACCGTGTGTTCCGCTACAGAAATACCCCCGTTAGATACTTTGAATGTGGGCCGGTGGGGTAGTCCTTAGTGGTTAAAGCGTTCACTTGTCACGCTGAAGACCGGGTTCGATTCCCCACATGGGAACGATGAGTGAAGCCCATTTCTGGTGTTCCCCGCCGTGATAGTGCTGCAATATTGCTAAAAGCGGCGTTCAACGAAAGTCACTCACTGATGGTGAAATGCAAGCAGGATTCAGACTCAACAGACCACAGATTTTTTGATTGTGTAATTTAATAAGAGATGATATTGCACGTCCTACATGTCGGTCAAAGTGTATCACTACGGGTGCGGCGTAAAGCTAAACTCTTTCACTACGAGTGGTGACAGCGCTTCGTTATGCAACTGGGAGTTTCTTGTCCGTCTGTGCAGATGTACAAGGTTTGTCAAAACTGGCAGCATCAAGATGTGTCCACGTAGTCTCAACATCATTGTGCAAACATGCCAATGAGTATTTTAATTTTCCCAAAACACAAGTTTAAAACAGAAAATGAAAGCTGCTTTTAACCAGATAGCTAACTTTACCAATGTGCTTGGATCTATAGACGGTTCCATAATCCCAATCAAAGCGCCAACAAAAGATGAACATTTGTTTGTGTCTAGGAAAGGATACCATGGCATACATATTCACATTGTGAATGGGGCCTCAACTGCAAATCACAAACTAATTTGCACAATGGCCTGGCTACACTCACGATTCTCATATTTGGATGCTTGTCGTAAGAGGGACTAACGGGATCGGGTGATCAGGCTCGCTGACTTGGTTTGACACATGTCATCGGTTCCCAATTACGCAGATCGATGCTCATGCTGTTGACCACTGTATTGTCTGGTCCAGAGTCGATTATTTACAGACCGCCGCCATATAGCTGGCATATTGCTGAGTGCAGCGTAAAACTAAACTCACTCAATCACTCATATTTGGAATGTGTGCAACCTGAAGCATTCATTTGAACAAGGCTTGGTGGGAGATGGTTGGTTGCTAGGAGCTAGGGGAATCCCATTGCCTTTAACCTTGCCACTGTCCATATTTCGAGTTACGCTCAGTTACGGAAAATCTAACGAACGCCTTTTAGGGATTATTTAGCGAATGCTTTGTGACACAATACTTCAATTTTTTAACGACCCTACTGAACGTCCAGGTATCATAAAATAAATAAAGGTGGGATTTAAAAGCAAAACCTTCTAATAAAGGCTGTGAAATGATGTTAATATCGCTGAATTAAAAACTTCCTGAAGCAATAACAGATTAGGGAGGATCATTTTGAATGTTTTCACAATTATTAATTCTCGTGTCTTTTTTTAATTTATCTAGTTTCAACGCACAGTGGCAAAGAAATTTTTAATATACAAATCTGATAAGTTGGGTACTTCTCAATGCTGACCATTGTAAAAGTTAGTATTATAAGGATA